GAATCAAGTATACTATATAGTCTAGTATTATATTTTTCTAAATCACAAAATTAATACACAAACAAAAAACGCAGTTTTAAGTTCCTGAAGTGATTTTGGCGATTTACACTAGTAAAAACTGAACCATCTTTGTAGCACAGAAACGCTCGAGGAGAACCCTGAAGTTACACGGATAAGTCAAACTCCTCTTGTAAAGGTCTCAGGACAGCTGTGTCAGCTGGAAGGTGAATGGACACACCCACTTTAGAGGAGGAATGAAAATACACTTGATAGACAAAGGCAGATCTGCACCTGGAGGACAAGGAGGGCCATAAAAACTACTGGATACAAATGACAGAAAATTAATGCTTCCAGTAGGTCCCTTTCCATTGATGGCAGCATGTGTTCATTTCAATCCATCTCTGCCACCTGCAGTAAATCATGAACATTGCAGCATTCACTTTTGTCAGGCAGAAAAACACTACATGCTTGTTGACCCTGAGTACAATTTTGACTATGATGAAGAATAATAACCAGATGTGCATATAAGAAATCATCTTTAGGACCAGCTGCAAATATATCAATCATTTTTTTAGCTTTTTATTTTTTTATCATTATTCAGCACATCAGCATATTAAAGTGTTTCACCTAGAGTTATATATTTGTATTAATCATTGCACATTATTGTTGGCAACTATGGTCTATAGCAAGGCAGCCACTGCTAAAGTTTTGCAGATCCAATTCCATTATCAATATCACTTATCCATTTTCTTATCGATTCTCATTGGCTCCACTTTGACAGTCACCACCATCACTAAGCAGCATGTGGAAGACATTACATTTGCAAATGAATTACCTGCTGTATGGTTAGATGGCTGTGTATGTTGGCAGTATTTCACATCTTTTTTGCGATCAGTGTTGGAGCTATTACTCAAAAAAATGTAATATTACACATTTAAAACACTTTTCTTAAAAGCAATGTGGTGCATTAGTGAATATCTAACTTCCAGGAGAATGTAACTCAGTATACAACTTGTTAAATTGCATTTGTCTGTAAAATAACCTGAAACACACCATCTCATAATTGCTATTTAACAATATAAACTTATAGGCTACGACACAAATCCCTATCCTAATGAGGACACAGATATGATATTTGTCTTTGGTATTTAGTTATGAACACAAAGCCGGCAGTACAAAGCAAAGATGAAAACCAGCACAAAGTGATCACCACAATCATTCTGTTTCAGAACCAAGAACAGGTGGAAATGGAAACTGGAGCCTGGCTGCCCATCCATTTTTAGCTTAGCATTAGCATGCTGTCTGTATAGATTGTTGCAAAGAACCAAGTTGTGTTAACATACTGCATAATGCAGTTTTTTGTCCAGTTTGCACTTCACCATTACGCTCTTGCCCTTTTTTGCAATAAAAAAGTAATAATACATATAATAGTAGTAAAAAGTGCCACTATTTTTCTCTCTGGGATATGAACTAAAATCAGCTGATTGTAGTGCAAGTGCAAGTTGAACTGATAAATGGAATCAGTAAGTAAACAAGGAAATGGACAACTCTTCTTTATTCCAATCTCTATGTAGCAGTCAGTGAGGTGACTTCATCCTTGGGAAAGATAGTAATGCTTGACTTGGTCTGTGTTCATCAGAGTATGAATGTTAGATACAAAAACAGTGTTTGTGTGAATGGCTGGCAATAAAATAGAACCAGAATTATAATATTTTAATTATCCCTATGTGGTTTACAGTTGCTCCAAGACATTAACAGTAACATAGTGAACTAATTAAATATTGCAATACATTATAAAGTTTATAAAATATAGCTCTAATGTATACAAATAGCTCAATTATAGACACCAAAATATTACAGAGGTTCATATTAGGCCAACGTATCACCATCATCCAGGTACATGGTTATAATACTCCAAATGTTGCTTAAATGGTAATAATTTCTTCATGAGGGGCAATTGGGAAATTGATCAGTGTTCAAAATGTCTATAACTACATTCATCAGTGAGAGGTATGAGTCTCTGCATCAATATAAATTGGATAATGAATACTTATTACTTATCACGCATTTCCTCAATAATGAGATTTTTAAATTGTAATTGTTTTCCTTTTTGTGTTGTTTTTTTGTATTTTGCCTTTTGCAAAATGTACTGTGTTGTCTTTTTTTAACATAGGGAGTGCGGCACTAACCAAACGACCCCGACTTCACATGGTCTGACTCTGAGGTGTCACCAACATTTAAAACATCACAGCATTTTAACAACAATAAATGTAGCAATCTCCACATTTTAGTTTGATAATGAAAATGAAAGTTTGATGCAGAGACACATCACATGCACACAATTGTGCATGTCTTGCAGAGACATTTTTGACCACTGCCATCAAAAAAAAAAAAAAAACCCTATAAAAAACAGTCCTAACCACTCTGTGTCTAAGCAGTCACAGCACATGATGCATCAAATAGAGTGCGAGGTAAAATAAAGTAATGAGGTACAGCTTTCTATTGTCTATTTGTGCTCCTTGTAATCATTCCCGTCACTGCTTGCAGTAACATGACATTTACATTTACATGAGACTGAACTTGAGTTAGTTTTTGCGGCTCTGAATTTTCCAGAGTTAAGAAGTCCCACCACCACCAGCAGCAGAGCCACCATCACCATGGTGAACACGGTCCGTAAGACGAGGTAGATATGACAGCTGGCCTCTGAGAAGGGGTTTATCTCAGTGTCTGTGTGATGAGTTTTCAAGTGATCGACTGGAGAGATGATAGAAATTAATTAACTATATGTGGTCACCTTGGTTATTTACCTTGGATCTACATTTAATATTGTTAAATTCAAGGGCTGAAAAGTTGCCAGAGATGCAGTTCCTCCAATGTCCACTAGAGGACAAAGTTAGTAAATCCCCATAGACTGCCAAACTGTTAAAGGCTTAACTAGGGAAGAAAGATTGTGTAACAATTTTGTGTGACAAAAATATAGTGAATTATTTAGTAATGAAACAGTTTTTAATCACACAAAGCAGGAGACAGGAGTGATGAGAATAGAGTTAGACTACAATTTCTGCTGATTTTGTCTGACAGAATAGAAACAACTTAAGTTTCTTTATAGCTGACACATTACTCACACATTACAGTTGTAACACTACTGGCATTAAAAGGGAGAAAAAAAAAGACCTCTTCATTGTCTCACCTGTGGTACTGAGCCAGGTCTCTGGTGATTCTCCAGCTCCTGCGATGCTGCACTTGTAATATCCTTCATCAGACTTTGAAACTCTGTGGATGGTCATGTTTTGTGTGGAGTTGGTGCTGATGTGGAGTCCATCTTTATAGAAATCAGTTGTGAAGTTGAAGGAAGTTGTCTTGTTTCTGCAGCCCAGGGTCACAGCTTCTCCCTCCATCACAGGAACAGCAGGACTCTCCAGGATCACAGAACCAGCTAAGTAACATGAGTCTGATATTAAGTTGATATTACATGTAATTAAAATGAATCACAAAATATTGTCTCACTGCAAACATACCAGTGACAGAGATGTTGATACTGTTGCTTCTGATCACTCCTTTAGTCTCATGCCAGTACTCCCCACTGTCATCACGATAAACATTTGTGATGGTGCAGGATGATCCTGTCGGTGTTCTCTTGTTAGTTTTGGGACATGTTTTTATTTTCCCTTTGACTTTATGCACAACGTCACAATAAAAAAAACCTTCACAGTAAAATGTCACTGCCTCATATTCAAAGAACTGTAGTCTGTTTGGAAGGATATGAAGAGAAACTGCATCTAGATGAAGAAAAAGAGACCGGTGCAGTTTACTGATGAATTCAAAAACTTCTGGAGTTACTCTTACAGCAAAACAAAATGGAAAGCATAACAGTAAATAAAATCCTCATCATAACTGGGTAATCGGCTATGAGAACTTTCCCAGTGATTAAACCCAGAATTAGGGGGAAGAACGACAAGAGATGCAGTACAGGGCCAAAAGTGACACTGTACTCTGAGCTAAACTGGCACATCCTTTTTTTACTTCTTTTAAACTGCCTACTGCTTTGAACTATAAATATTAATGGTCATACCAGTGAGAAACAGATTATACTCACCAGCTTTCTGAGAATGTGAGCAGAGCAGGACCGTGATGATCATCACTGATAAGCCAAAAACACAGATAAAAATCAGCATATTCACTTTTTAAAACTTGTTGAATCTAGCAGCTAAAAATGGTATTTGTTACGTCTCTAATGTGCCACCAAAAGGGTCCTCAGTATGATAGCTTTAAATTTACAACATTTTCACATTACCAAAGTCTTTATAGTTTAGCTTTAATGTATAAATGGAGACAGTACTCACACAGTCTGATGCAGAGAGCTCTGACCTCCATGATGTCTTTCTGCAGACCAACAGACTCTCTTTGTGTGACTAATTTGAAAGAACTCTAAATAGTTTTCAGAGAACCAGAGGTGAGGTTGTGGTAGGTCATCTGACACAAAGACAGCCTGATGCTGCTTTCAGTGAAACTTGTAGTTATTTAACCTTCATCTTATGCTTGGATTAGAGCAGCAATGGGTTCGTTATTCTTCTGCTTTCTTTATTTAATCAAACAGTTACTCTACATTTTGTGATGAAGCCAATTTTAAACTGAAGCTGGAAGCAGCGAAAAAGAGATCCACATAACTATGTCAAGCAATGTCAGAATTATTTGAATACATACATAAAAGTTGGTGTTTTCTGATACATATAGACGATTGTTTTAATCTTCTACTGCAGAAGATAAAAACAATGCTTTATAGTGAAGACACACATTTCAGTGCAAACTTGTCATCTTATGCTGTGTTTAGCAGGAAGAGTTGTGGACCCAATATGAGGGAGTCAAAGGCTGAACTGAACTCAGAATCAGTTTTATTTAAATAATTAATTTAAGTTACATTTGTATTATATTATAACATATTTATATTATATTTATATTATAAGTTATAAGTTAAATTTGAATAATTTAACTGGCAGGAACTCGGAGATCCAAACAGGCAAAATATGCAGCAAGAACGAGATCGTGACACTGGATGGAGAGAGAGAAAGACCATATATACGCAAGAGGGAATCAGGGCAGAGGGAAAACACCTGCGGAAGATGGATGGACATAATCTAACTGATGAGACAGGGGAAGCAAAACTGAATATGTGCACACAACAAAAGTCTGTCAGAATAAAACAAATAATAAAACACAAGAAACACGTGAGATGCAGTTTGTCTAAATACAGAGAACAGATGGAGGAAACAGACACAAGACCACGAAGACACAAAATGGGGGCGAGTGAGTGAGGGACAAGCAGCATGACAGAAACCGGACAGACACACAGAGACATGAATGGGAAACAGATGAAAAAACATGGTGACAAGACAGACTTTACAGTGAGGTACAACTAACTAACACAGGAGATTCTGGGGAGGCAAGACCAAGACAAACAGGACACGAAAGAGAACAGACCAAATAAACAAGTAACTAAGAACTAGAAATACACATGATTAAACTACAAGCAGAAGGAAACTAAACAATACCAAATAAATAATAAGAAACACATATCACCACAATAATAATCAAAGTCCAAAAACACAAAAACACTGGGTCATTAGAGTTCCAAAAAAAGAACAAGCAGTTTAGGGGCCTGGCCACGTAGCCAGTGGCCTAGACAGAGCAGTTCGGGTCGGCCGTGCGGCCAGCAGCGCGGAGCCCTCTCATTGGGTTCTGGGACTGGCTAAACACCAGCTGTCCCCACCTGAGAAACGGGTATGGTTGGAGGGATGGGCTTGCTTCTTGCTAACGGACAGTCTCACACACAGACAGAGTTCTGGCAAGCAGAAAGGTGACAGTTTATTTAGAAAAGGGGTGAACCACAGTGCTATATATATATTTTAACAGTGAGTTGGGCAGGGGTCCAGGGGGAAGAGGAAAGGGAATCCACACACACACATTCCTCTTCAGCACCATCACCACCACTTCTCTTCTGCACACACTCACTCCTCTTCAGCCACTCTCATCCAGATCTCCACTCATGCTGCCGTACACAGGAATCACAAGGGAGGGTCCGTCACAAGGTCCAGTGAAATCTATATATAGAGAGCACAGGTTAGTTCAACAGGTGAGTAAACAAAGAGCGATTTCTAAGAAAGAGGTGAGAAAACAAACACAAGTTCAACGTTCCCACAACTAACTGCTCCGTGCCAGAGAATTAAATAGTTACAGAGCACCCTGGACTGATCATTAACAGGTGGTGGCAATCAGCGCAGATTCGCGAGCCAAGAGCAAGAGCCCATAACGAGCTCCACCCAGGCAGGCAGGAGAGAGTGACAGAGAACCAAACATAAACAAAACCTGCAGCCATCACGAGCCAGCCAGAGAGGGACGGGGACCATGACACTAGGAACAGGGAAAGGCGCAAGAAGTAGCTGGACATCAGCTGCCCCTGCATGAGGAACATGTACAGGTGCAGGAATGAACTGGGTTATGGCTGCCCTCATCTGGGGAGCAGGTGATGGCTGGACACCAGCTGTCCCCACCCCAGGAACTAATATGGGTGCGGGAACCAGTGGACCAGTATAAGTTTATTGTAATTAATTAAAGGGAAGCACAGAGAAGCTGAGTACGTCTCATAACCATTTCTTCATCATCGCTAACACTCAGCTTATGACTTCTGCTTTCACACAGTGCGGTCAAACAAAAGTAGAAAGCCACATAATTTTCTTTGACTATATTGAACAGAAACGCCACTTATTTCTGAGTACAAGACCACATCTAAGTTAGAGACACGCTCAGTATCAGACTTTGCACCACTGACAACAAACTTGCATTTGCATCTGTTTTGCAAAATAAAGTAATGTGACATTTTCAGATTAACCCTTTAACACCTACCATAGAACCAAGTCCGCCAGAGCTTATATTATATTTTTACATGTTGTAGTGCCATTTTTGGGAGCATTTCAAGTTGCTATACATCAATACAACAATTATAGCCCATATTTTAATAATATGTATTCATTAAGTGCATAGTAATTACATAAATTGCAAAAAAGTGCAATAAACTACAAAAAAATTGAAAATCGTTTTTGCTTTTTTAACATATATTTCTAGTTATTTCTAGAAATTTAAGAGGCTTATCCCTCAAAACTGTAAATACAAAAAAGTTGCACAAAATAGTTTCCCACCACAGGAAATTTATTTTGAGTGTCTTCATAGTTTTATTTTTGAAATACATCAATTTTTATACACTGCAGGAAAAACGAAAATAAATATTATAGTGCAAATTTGCAAAAAGCAGCATATGCATCAAAATAAACTATTTCCAGCAGTGCAATATGAGTCCTAAGCATCCCAGAAATGACACAGAAAGTCATAAAGTCAAACATAACTTTTAAAAAGACCAGTATAGGCCCTGAGGCCCTGATGGTAAAAAAGACTACATTTCCGCGAAAATGACGTCACTTCCGGTTTCGGGCAGGTAATGGCGGAAATGCAAAAGTTCGCGCTGACGTCTATTCCAACGTAGGAAGTGTTATGAACAGCTGATCGGATCGGCAAAGCGTGTTTCTGGAATATTATGTTTTTGTTCCAGCAAGCGCTTTTTATGCAGTTTTTGCAAAGCTTTATGTGGAAGGAAACCGTGACCTAGGACAAGCTGATGGCATAAGATGTAAGTACAACTCCTCCGGTTTCATATGCAAATAAAATTATTGCGCTAGCTTACGTGGTTGCAGAGCTACCGGGATTTAAAAATAGTTACGTAAAACAGAGCGTGCCCGCTCCGACTGGCTCTAACGGGTTAATGGTTGACCACAATTAGCTTTTTTTCACGTAATGGTATTTATAGAGCTGTAAACAGATAAAGCAGATGGGACACCGGAAAGCACTAACAACAGTTATATAAGAAGCAAAGCACCTCCCATAGAACATCCTGAGGAACATGGTTTGAATGCCTTCTCCAAGTCCACAAAACACATGCAGACTGGTTGGGCCAACTCATGCACCCTCAAGTATCATCGAGAGCGTAAGGAGATTGTCCAGTGTTCCACCAACCTGGACAAAAATCGCATTGCTCTTCCTGAATCCAATGTTCGAATAATGGACAGATTCTCCTTTCCAGCACCCTGGCACCTTCTAGTCCCCCTTTTTGAAGTTCTGAAGCACCCCCACCCGGTCTGCCACTTCATAGGTACTGCCCATGATCTCCATGCAACATTGCAGAGGTGTGTAAATCAAGAGAGCCCTACAACATCCATAGTCTTCAGGAATTCAGGGTGAACCTAATCCAACCTAGCAGCCCTGCCACCGAGGAGTTGTTTAACTGCTTCAGTGACCTCACTCCCTGTGATGGAGAGTTGTCACCCCTATCCCAGACACTGCTTCTCCTATGGAAGATGTGTCAGTGGGATTAAGGAGGTAATCCCACTGACAAAGTATCCCTTCCACCGCCCGAGAATATCCTCAGTCAAAGTCAGCAGCGCTCCACTCACACTTTACCTTTTCCCCTCCTGAGTTGTCTGACCAGAATCTCTTCAAGGTAGTCCGAAAGTATTTTTCCATGGCCTCTCCGAAGTCCAGCCACTCAAACCACTGCCTGAGTTGTGTTCTGCTTGGCCTAAGTGTCCCCAATATCCCTTGAATGCTGTCAAAGCTCTGATGGAGGTGGGAGTTGAAGATCGTAGGGATGGGGTCATCTCCTAGGCATTCCCAACACACCCCAGGTCTGTCCAGCTTCCTCCCCCACAGTGTGATCCACCTGATCAGCAGGTGGTGATCAGTTGACAGCTCAGTACCTCTCTTTACGCAACTTTCCAAAATATGGCTGTAGATCTGATGATATGATTACAAAGTTGATCATTGACCTGAGGCCTAGGGTGTTCTGGTGCCATGTGCACTTATGGACACATGAGCATTGAGTGAGTCCCCAAGTGGATGGCCCATTACGATGATTTTTTTAAATTGAGTTGCAACTTGTGGGTAAGTGTCACTAGACCCATATTCTGGACCCATATTTGACAGCCTGAGCTGTAGAATATGGATCTAGAGGACAGTACATCTTTGTCTAATAGAGGAAAGCAGTAAAGCTGAGAGGTCATCACTTATATTAACAGTAACATAACGGCTGATGATCTCTGGTTATCATTCACTGTGGTCATTCAATTTCATGTGAAATTTTAGGAAAATCTCTCATTCAGAGTTAGAAATGAAAATCAATACCATTTCTATCAGTCCGTTGTGTTACCTGCTGCTAGCAGGACTCTGAGGTAAAAACAAACAAACAAACAACCCTTTAATTGATTACCTGTGTGCTAAGCTATGGTATAATTTTCTGGCTCCTACTCAATATGTTGCATAAAGGAGAGAAAACATGGTTGTTCTTTATATAATACTCAACAAAGCAAATAAAAATATCCTACACGTTGAAAATTATCACTAAAATCCCCAAATTTATAAATGATTAGATATACAAACAAAAATGCAGGTAATAGCAACAAGAAAACTAATTATGATTGTCTGCTTGTCAATTTAGAGACATGTTTTATAAAATACCTTTCTTCTTCCTGTTTTTTTTTCTTATAACAGCATACATTTCTCTGACTGGATTCACAATAGTGGCCGCTGTGGAAGCTGTAAAATAACAAAAGTTATCAAAATATATGAAAACAGGCACAGACTCTTACTTAGCTTAATAAATAGTCTATAGCCGTAGCCTATCAAAAAATAAATTAATTAAAAAATAAACTCAGTATAACTTCAGTACAATATCCAAATAATCAATAAGAGCATTTCTATTTCAAATTATATATCTTCCAGTTTCCTTCAGTTTGATGGTATAATAACATCACTGCCACAGTGTTTGTGTTCTGACCTGTTTGATCGTTGGCTGAGCCTGAACCATTGACTGTTGTTGATGGACAGAAGAAATTTGCTGAAGGGAAAAAAAAAGAATAATAAAATAAACTGTATCAACATAGCCAGCGAGAAAGAAATGAACATTTTTTTCAAACATTATGCACCAACTAAACTTAACCACATAATAAACGTAATCCATGTAAAAACATTTAGGTAGCAGCAATTGGTGGTTTTTTTACCTCTCTCCCAGCAACATTTGCCAAAGTGGTACAGTCCCACCAACAACAACAGAGCACCGAATACAGTAGTGGAAATGATCCAAGGTGTGGCATCACAGGTGAGAAGTCTTGTATCTTTGTAAATGTCTGGATTAGTTGCTGAAAGATTAAAAGCTAAAAAATTAAGCGGAAGATAAAATGTTAATTCAAGCTTCCTTATACTGAGATGATGTTTAAAACGTTACATATCTGGCATTAAAAGCTTCTAAGACCCTGAGGGACGGACAATCAGACAACACAACAGGAAGGTTATAAAGGCTTCAAATCACCCCTGACACTGAGCCAGCTCTCTGATGATTCTCCAACTCCCGAAATGCCACACTTGTAAAGTCCTTCATCAGACTTGGAAACTCTGTGGATTGTCACGTTTCCTGTGGAGCTATTATGGATGGGATGTCCATATTTATAGAAATCCGTTTTGAAGTTGGAAGAAGCCATCTTGTTTCTGCAGCACAGAGTCACATTTCCTTCCTCTATTACAGGAATGGCAGGACTCTCCAGGATCACAGAGCCAACTGTATAAGACAAGTCTGTGATTCATGTGACAATAAAATAATTTAAAATCACAAAATATTGTTACCTTGTTGTAAACATACCAGTGACAGTTATGTTGATTTTGTTGCTTCTGTTCCCTCCTTCAGTCTCACACCAGTACTCTCCACCGTCCTCTCGATAAACATTTGAAATGGTGCAGTATGATCCTGTTGGTGTTTTCATGTTAGTTTTATTACATGATTTTATTTTCCCTTTGAATTTATGAACAACTTGACAATAAAGGACCCCATCACAGTAAAATGTTACTGGTTCATATTCAAAGAACTGCAGTCTGTTTGGACTGATTCGAAAGGACACTGCATCTGAGAAAAGAACAAATGAAAAGACTCACTGATGAGCTTTACTTAAACATAGAGAAAACAACATTTCAGGAAAAAAGGAAAATGAACTGAAAATATGCACCATAACTCTTTATATACATGATCACAAAAGAATACTTTTTTTCCTACTTTTCATATATTTGGTCCACAAAACACAAAATACTAAACAACATCCATATCAACAAGCAATTTTTTGATACTTGCCAACTTTCTGACCATGTGCACAAAGGACCACAAGAGTCATAACTGAAGAGACAAAAAAGAGATACAAATTATTGAGGCCTACAGTGCAATAGTAATAACATCTCAGGATGGCAACTAAATTAGAAACGATTTTCTGAAAGTTAAAAAAAAGAAAAGTATTACATCTAAACCTCATTATTAAATTTACTAAACTATTTATAATTTAGCTCTAATGTAGAAAAAGAAAAAAGTACTTACACAGTTTGATGCACAGAGCTCTGACCTCCATGCTGTCTTGCTGCTGACTATGTGCACACATATTAAGTTAACAAATGTTAAGTCAGTGAGCAGGGGGTGTTTCCTGTGTGGCTTCTTTCTGCAGCTGAAGCGATGCTAAACATTTAAAAATAGTATTTGAATAAGCTATGTTACATTAAAGTTACCTGCAGTTTCAGATCACTATAAAAGGGGAGAAAACAAACTGCTGCTTTTAATACAACTTGCAGTCATTGCATATCTATCATGTCTGCCTTCTTAGTTGCATCAGCATGTTAACACATGGTTTTCATTGTGACAGTAATAAACAATTCCTCATCATTTATATCACTGTTGTTATTTGTCCTCTCACCCCTACTGTCATACATATAGGGCCTTGGGGGTGGGCACCCTGAACGGAGTCCAGACGGTCTGTTTATTCAGCCTCACCTGTAGTGTCGGTGCCCACCTCCCCATTTTACCTGTTGAGGGGTTTGCCCCTGCTGTTATCCTCCTGGTCTGGGAGGCCTCTGGATTTCTGGGGCCTGAGTCCCTTCCATGCCTGCTTCATGTCCTGGAGGGCAGGACTGTGGCTCCCCACACCTATTAGATACTTAAAAGGAGAAACCTTATGAACACAAGCCCGCTTAACACTCACATGTTCACACAGGTGCACAAACAGGCATGCACAGACACACTCTTGGGCTTGATCTTGGTCGGCTGCTTACTCTAAACATGTCATGTATTAATAATACTGTATTCTGCTCAATAACATTTAATATTTCTTATTTACGGTTACTTATACATATGTTGGATGTTTCTGTGGATTTCCTGCTGTGTTGCTTTTTTCTCACATTTTTTTTTCTTCAGCTGAAGGTCAAGCAAATTTATTAGTTTTTTTCTCTCTCCCTCTCCTTATGTTAACTTTCTTCCTGATTCTTTTTTCTTTCTTCTTTTCCTTCTCCTCATCTTGTGTGATTTTAATAACTCAAAATAAAAATAAAAAACTAAAAAAAACAAACTAATTCACTTCTAATAAAATATGGATAGTGGACAAGTAAAGCAACAGCCAAAATGATCCACTTTTGAAATAAATCTTTTGGGCATTTCTTTGGCCTTCAAACAACAATTCTGATTGTTACACTGCTGGACAGGACAGGAAAAAAAGAAAACAAAAAAGAAAATGAAGGCAGAAATCTTAATTGCATCTTATTTTTACTTTTAGTGAGATTTTCTTTTATTGGTTTGTGATGTATCTGAGGTGGAGAGACCATGGGTCATGCTTACCCAACAGTAATTTTAAGATGAGCTAGTAAACAAAAGTGAACTAACGTCCTTCATGAGAATAGAGACACATTTTGGTAATATAATCTAAATATAATATGGCCAACCAACAGCAGGGGAGCTGAGGGAGGTGAGAATAGAGC